ATACAATTGAATCACGATGCTTCCAGGTGGTTATTCTCTCAAGTACTGACCACAGTTAATATAACTTAACCTCGATGATCGAATGGAACTAGTGCTTTCAGCATGCATGCAAATGGATTCAGAAAAATGTCTTATGTGATAAGGAATGAAACACAAGAAAAATCATTTAAAAAAAACTTTTGTAATGAGTACTATTCGGGTTCTTCTATTAATCCTGTTGGGAAAACTATTCTTTAGCTGTGATTTTCGTTTAAAAACTATTTTCCGTAGAGATGACTTAATTTTATGCAACTGTAATTACTATTTAACCTTTTATCTACTGACGGTACTTATAAGTTTAAAATTACATAGAATAACCATTTTTACGAATATTCTGACGATATTTAGGAGGGAATATCTTTTAATTCCACGATACATGGCAGTACAGGTTCTATGATGAGAGTTTTTTGGCGGGGAAGGTGAATAGTTTTAAAGCAGAAGTTTCATTTTCAGCTGACATTTTGATCGGGTTGCGAAGATTGTCATTTTTGTTCCGAAAAAGTATTTATTTTTCAACTTCTACTATTAGCTCATTGTCTCTATACATTTATTTATATATTTATCTTGTACAAATTTTCAATCCCTTATAAAATACTTTTTATTCATCCAATTAAGTTCTAATAAATTTTTTAAAACTTTTAGTAGATGACACTCGATGTGAATGCAGTTATTTCAAATATTAATTAATTAAAATAAATTAAATTGAATTAATTAATGGTTTTTAACACCAACTTAGATTCGCCTCTCTTGTTATAACAGTGCAACTGTTAAAACAAAGACAAAAGTTGGCGTCGAAAACCTGTTTTTCAGTCAAACTAGCCAAACCGTAATGCAAACAAATCAAGCAATTTTTTCAATTCCTACTATTTCTCTCTCTCTCTCTCTCTCTCTCTATATATATATCTTAATCAAATTTTCAATCGTTAGTAAATAGTTTCTATTCATGCATTCGAAGTAGGAATTCACTTAATTTTTTTTATATATATTTTTGTTTTAAGGTAAGTGCCTTATTTTTTGTTTTGTTTCTATATTAGTTAAAACCTTAGAAAACGATTTGATTATTTATTTTAAGTGAACAATATATATAGGTAATTTTACAGTTGAATAACTTTGTGGTACTTATAAGTACCGACAGCATACTGGGTGTTAGAACAAGAACTTAATTTTTCTTTCTTTTTTTGTTCATCCATGTAGCTTATTGTTTTTTGTTGATATTGTTGTAGCGTCATCACTATAGTGGAATAGAGTTATGCCTTTTTCAGAATTTCTTTTAGCTTTTTTATTCTTTTATTATAACGTTTTCAAAAAATTTTGAACTTTGAATCTGATTTTTTTTTACCACACAATAAATGAAATACCAAATTTTTTTTCGGAAAACAGCAACATTTTAATTTCCTTATATGCAACTGAGATTTAACAATAATTGGAGATTTTCATGGTGCTAATATTATTATTTCCTTTCCTTAGAAAATGTGGAAAAATGAAGCTCAGTCTTCAAGAGGCTTTGGATTTATTACAAAACATACCATCTGAAAGTAGTAATGCACTAACCGATGATTCTTCAGATAAAGGCGTCCCAGCACATTATGTGCTGGAAGTTTCGTTAAATCTTTAAAATGGTGATCAAGAGACTAAACAAGACCGAAAGTGCAATAGTTCATGTTCAGAAAATACAGTGGTTCCTACACCCCGATGCAGTGTTTTAAGAAACATTCAACTGAAATCTCACTTAAAAGGCACAGCATGTAATGAATTTTTGTGTATAAACGAAAAGAAAAAATGTTCCTTCGAATATCATCAAAATAGTTTTAATTGTAAAACCTGTTTTTTTGTGTAAAAAAATAAATAAATTTTAAAAATTTAATAATTTTTAAAAACAAATATATTGTGCTCTAAAATACTAGTGTTCTGTGGTTATTTAGTATTTTTAAGAGTTAAAACTCCGCTAAAAATGCCATTCGGGTCTTTTTGTATTATGAGAATATTTTAACCTTTGTTTACTGACGGTACTTCAAAGTACTAATTTAATTAATTAGCTCTAACGGATTAATTTTCCTAAGTTGTGTATTTTACTTATGTAAATGCCTTAATTTTCAATGTTTCAAAAAAAATATTGCATGAAAATAATTGCAGTAAATCATATTGTGGTAGATAAAGGGTTGAACTCTGACGTTGGATATGGAGATGAATGGTTAATCGTTAAACGTTAATCCTGAAATCCAAGAATAAGAGAAGGTGAACTGTGACTAGGAGGTAACGCATCCTGAAATCAATATTGATTGAAGAATCCACCAGGAGTTGTGGGACTAAACAACTTTGGAGCTGGCCGAGCTATCGGGGTTAGAGAAGGATCATCACAAGGAGCTCTGACTGAAGCTAAGAGGTTTCCCATAATCATATACAGGAGATAAAATGTCAGGATATTATATTGTTCTTAGAGTTGAGCTGTGCTATAGAATAAAAGTAGCTAATTTTAAGATCATGTATCTTTTTCCCCGAAACCTCTTACATCCGCAACCTTCCGGCCGTGACAATTCGACACTGAATTTATTGATAAGATTAAATAATGAAATTTGATGAATATAATTTAATATTGCACTCTATACCGAACAAATATAATAATATGCAAAATACAGTATAGTTCCTAATTAATAACGTTGGTATAAAATACAAACAAATGAACAGCAATATGTTTGTTTTTATTTATATATGATGCACTTTCTGTGAAATTTTAATTAAATGCCACAGGTGTAAATGATTACATAAAAACCTCTGTAAAAGAACTTCCGTTCAAATTTTAAACTAATTAAATGGAATTAAAACATTTTACATTTGAATGAGAACAGTAGATATTTCTATTAAATACTTAACCGAAATTGTTTCTCGAAGATTCATTTTTTTCATTTTACTAAATCTATAAATCAGGGAAGTCAAACTCAATGGCTACAGCGAGTACTATTGCGGCCCGGTTAATATATTGGTACATAATACTATATAATAAAATATAAAAATTTCTCCCAAAAAAGGAAAAATAATAGCAGAGAACAGATGCCGTGTCAGGACGTACATATTAAATTTTTCTTGTTTTTCAGTTCCTACTATTAGTTTACTCTCTCCCTATATATATATATATATATATATATATATATATATATATATATATATATATATATATATATATATATATATATATATATATATATATATATATATATACTACTGGACAATTGCTAAGGACGGATCACAAATTGCTATGTAGCATAACATTAAGTGAGACATGAGGCCTAGTAGGATAAAATATAGTTGCCACACTGTTCAGACATTAGAATAAAGAATATTTATTGTTCTGGAAAGTACAAAAGCTGTGAAACATCTGAAAGAAAAAAAAAGTTCATTTGATCTGCGTACGGAGAAAGGGAACAATACATCTAAACGTCAGCAGGCACCTTAAAGAAAGGTATCAGTACGGGATATGTCCACCGTGGAGTGTGATGCAACATTCCACACGTCGTACCATACTTTGCACAACATTATCCAGCAGCTGTTGAGGCAATTTATCCCATTCCTCTGTGAGTGCACGGATGAGGGTGTTCTTGTTTGTCGGATGATAGTTTCGACCAGCAATTTGCTTCCCCAAAGCATCCCACACATTTTCAATGGGGTTTAGATCTGGAGAACGCGCTGGCCATAAGAGAAGTTGAATACCCTCGCTGTCTAGACAATCCTGAACAGAGAGTGTTCGATGACATGTTGCGTTGTCGTCCATAAAAACAAATTTATCACCGACAGCACCACGGAAAAGACGAACATGAGGATATAGAACTTCATCAATGTATCGTTGGCCCGTCATAGTCCCATTCGCAACCACATGTAGGCGCGTGCGGCCATTGATCATGATGCCGGCCCACACCATGATACTGCATGTCGGATATCGGTCCTTTTCCTGGATATTTTCTGGACGATAAGCAGTACCACTCTCGCGCCAGATCAGTTGGCGTCTACAATCCGATGACAGACTGAACCTACTCTCATCATGGAATAGTACGCATGCTCAGTCCTGTTCAGTCCAATTGCGATGCTCACGACACCATTGCAAACGGGCAGTACGGTGCTGTCTGGTCAATGGGACACACACAACAAGTCTGCGTGCGTATAGTCCTCTTCCCCTCAAACGTCTGGCAACAGTTTTTCGGGAGATCTGCTTTCCTGAGGCAGCAAGAAACTGATTTGCCACCTGCTGAGCTGTGGTGCGCCTGTTCCTTTTTGCTGATAGGACGATATATCTGTCTTCTGCAGGCGTCGTACTTCTAACACGACCTCCCCCGTGCCGTCTACTACACATTCCAGTAGTTTTAAATGACTTCCACAGCCGTGAAACAACGCTGTGAGCGATGTCGAATACCCTGGCAACATCTGTTATTTTTCGCCCTTCTTCGATCTTTCCAATAATTCGGCCATGCATAAAATCATCTATGTGATGTCGGGAAGACATGCCAAAAATTTTAAGTTCGTCCATTAAATCTTTCCTGTAAAACTTTGACTTGAAACAACAACTGTCCACACGCGTCAAAACCTTTAAAGCTCTTATGAACGCTATCACGTGATGAACAGACGTGGAATAAAAATTTGCATACTCATACTTCTTCTTACTAATATCCCGTACTTATTTTAATTTTCCACATTTTGTGGTTGTTATGGATGATAGTGTTATCCGTTCTTAGCAATTGTCCAGCAGATTATATATATATATTTATAACTTGTTCAAATTTTTTCAATCGTTAATAAAATACGTTCTATTCCTTCATTAAAGTTCAAATGCATTTTTTAAAACTCGTACTGGATGACACTTGATGTTATTACAGTTTTTTCAAATATTAATTCATTAATTAGATTTAAAAATGAATAAAAGTAACAAAAATATTTGTCCAACAGCATATATTAAAAGGAAAGTCGTTCGTTGTGTACCTGTAGCGCAATGGATCGCGCGTTGAACTTCTCATTCAAAAATCATGGGTTCGAATGCCACCTGATATTTTTGAGAACGTAATTTCCTTTTGACTATACTATTTTATTAGAATAATTAGATTTATAATTAATGAATAAACAGTAACAAATAAAAATGGTCCAACACCCTATATAGAAAGGAAAAAAATGGCAGGAAAATCGCTTTTTCTATTTTTCCCCTTAATATTGTGATTCTGTCATATGTATATACATATTTAAATTAATTGATTTATTTAATAAAAAGTAATTAAAATAAAAGTTTTCTTTGTTAACCTAAGTAGGAATTGACATATTTTTCTTTATATTACATGTTTTATATATGTTTATTATAATGTATTATTCGACATAAACATACGTTTCTGTTAAATTTTATTTTCTTAGCGACCCTTAAGTTAAACCTTGTTTATTTGCCCCAAGTAAGCTTTTTAGCTTTACACTGTTTCTATAAATAACTGTGAAAATTTTAATATGTACCTTAGAGAATATCATAGCCTATGGAGAAAAAATATTTCATACAAAATCTTTACAAACTCCATCAATCGATAACCAGAATCATTTCAAATTCGTCATCTATCCAAATGACAAAATAACATCTCATCCTGTGAAAACAAAATTGAATAAGCACGTCTTTGACTTAAAATTTTCCCTTTCTGCGATCCAATATATATTTTATCTGTCATATACAAACATACAGCAAACATGAAGTGATAAATACTTTGACGGAAATACGCAAATAGAAATGCATCAGGCCTTTGATCAAGTGTGAATAGAATACGACTCAGAATGGTTTTTTCCTTTGAAATATTTTCTGCAATCATACGAACTTCTCAACTAGCTTGCGGCTGTTTATTTTGTATTAATGAAACCTATTGAATCATTCGAAAGATTTCAATACTGGGAAGTGAATGTTTATGAAATTGTACAATTTTCTAAATCTGTAGCTGTTTGTAATCAACCTTTTTGGAAACCTTACATATACATTAGAGTGTAAATCGAAACATTTTTTTCCCCGAATTTCAAAACATACCTATGCGAAAAAGATGTTTTCCGGGAACATAAATACAGAAAAAAATAAAATAAAAAAATAATTTTTATTTTTCCTGCTGCCAGAGGAATGAAGTTTGGAAATTTGAGTTTTTCATGGTAAAATAGTCAAAGTAATTTTGGCCTAAGTGGAATAACCTTTTTAGTAATTTTAACGTTTGTTGCGATGAGAGGACACATATTAAACAGATTCAAGAAAAAAAAATTAGGTACATTTAATAACTTTAGCATGAACTTTTTTAAAAATAAAAACCTGTTGTGGAAGTTATAGTGCACGATAAAGTAGAAGCTTGAATTGGACTGCGGAGATGGATAGTGCTGAGTTATACAATGACAGCTGGGCTATACAATGTTGCAATGTAATCCTATCAGACCTACTAATCAGTTATCATCACTTTTAATTATTTATATTGTATAAATTAATTATTTTAAGTCTAAAATCATGTGCCAAATTTACTCTTTTTCTTTTTTTTTTAAAATTCAACCCCTTTGTGGTAATATCAAATTTTGTGTAATTAATTTTTTAGATTATTTTTCTCCTAATCACCTTAGTATAGAACACGGCTCGGTACTCTATGGCATGCGTGCCACATGTGACAGCCTGATGGCATTCTCAATGACACTACTCTACAATTTAATCAATTTTTGAATGGATGGAAGTTGATAAATTTGTAATGGACATTATTTGGAAAACATCTTTAGAATTATAAATCCTTATGAGAGAGAGAAATTACAAAAATCTGAATGATTGAGTGATTTAGTGAATATTAATGCCGCACTGTATACCTACGCGAGGGCTTTTGGCGGCGGACCTCGTAATTTTGAGCCATGGTCAAGTGACGAGAACGACACCTCAGCTGGGCAAGACATTGTCCCCCTCACTTAACTACCTCACCACACCAACGGGAGGACGTTTGAGGTTTCGACAGAATTAAGGTGCATTGCTCCCTTACGCGGCGGGTGTGCGTGAGTGAGTGAATATTTACGTCGCACAGTTCAGCTACACGAGGGCTTTTGGTTACGGACCACGTTATTTTTCAACCATGCAACACCTGCTTGTCACTCCCCTCTCCCAAACAACCCCACCACACCAACGGGAGGACGTTTGAACTCTCGACATATTTAACGTGCATCGCCCCCTACACACAAATCTTTTGTGGAACTGGGCTCAGACTCGTGAGAAGGCCAGCCACGATCCGATATCTTGACCACTCGGCTACTGCGGCCTTCTTACACGGCGTGATTTCAGCGTTACTAGGCTAGAACTCATAACACGCAGGCCAAGAATCAGTTACCTTGACTACTAGGCTACCGCGGGGATCTGAAAGGTTACTCTAAAAATACGTTTATAGCTTTTTTGTTAATTATTGAATGTCATTGCTGGAGAGATTTAAGCATTTGAAGAGAAAAAAAAGGCGTGTGTACTCTACTGTCCGCTTTCGGCTCTGCACATTAAAGTAAATCAAAAAAATTGTCCTCGAATGAAAAGTAATTCGAGTCCTCAAGGATAGTGTTTAGCAACTGAATGTTAAGAATCGTGTCAAATTGAATGTCATACATTTTTTTTATTACTAATGGGCTGCCAATTGGAGTCCTTCCATTGCAGACCTAGTACATTTCCCAAAAGCTGGTATATCTTCTTAGTTAGGTGCAAGTACTAGGTTCGCATTAAAATCTGTATTTGTCTTTTTATAAAACTCTAACGAAGGGAAATGGCTATATTTTACGTTGTCTATTTCTCTTTTTAATAAATATGTCTAAAAATGCATAATATATGTGTACAATTTTAATTTTTTTTATTTTTGTTGAAGAAATAGTTATATTTTATGCTGTTTATTTTTATGTTAACAAATATCTTTAAATGAGGCAAAATTAATTTATAATAAAACTGTAAATCTATATTATTGACCTCTATTCTCTAACTGCGCATGTATTATCGCGGGAATCAAATTGTTTCAAAAATGCCTTCCTGAGGGTTACGCTGAATCCTATTGGTAGATTCGTTCGGTACGTCACAGCTAAAAAGTTACTGATCTTTTTGACTAAACCTCTTTTCCGCATATGCATATTTATTAGGGCCGTGGGTAGCCTAGTGGTTAGAGCATCGGACTGCAGACCGGAAGGCCTGGGTTCGATGCCCGATGTTACCAAATACCCTCCGAGTACACACGGAGTGCGTGCTCGTTAAATCAGTGGGTCCGAATTCTTGTGGGCTGAGTCACGAGCGCAGAGACTGGAGAATATTTCCCTCCCCTTCAGTTTCATGCAGAAATTGTGGAACAGGAGATAGGTGGTGTCGCCATCTGTCGTCCCTTTGGGAAATTTCGAAGAGCTAAATTGTACTATCACCTGTATAGTGCTCAAGGACAACGACAGGCGTACTCCTTGCCACGATGGATTTCGTGGGCCTCGATCTGACCACGTCAGACAGGTGGCATTAGAAACAACAACATATTTATGATAATTCGTTTGATAATAACTTTTACTTCTCCATATAACCACCATCCACCCTTAATATCCATCTTCAGAATTACTGGAAATTAATCTTAAGGAAATTCTTGGATATTTCGAAAAATTTATGAGTTAAAGACTTATGAATACAATTTTATTTGTGGAAATAAAAATAAGTGAGAATTGAATGGACGGAAAGAGAGAGAGATCAGAAAATTTTTGTGAGTACATATCAGTAGGAAAAAGTCATGCATGTACCAGTTTTCCAGCACAAAGCAGTTTTCAGACATTTCTGAATATTTATTTCACATACATTTTCGGAAATGCCTGCGGGTTGTAAAGGGTTCGAGAAAAGGGCCTGAATTTCAATGAATTGTAAATTGAGAATTATTCATGGAATTTTAAAAAAAGGAATGTGCAAAAAGCTGCAAGAAATAAGATAGAGGAATATTTTTTTGTCAAATCTAAAGTAGCTTAAACTTGTTCTTCCTAGAACTTTTATTTATTTTTACAAAATTCAAATTGAAATATAGAATCTTGAAAGGTGGAATTTTGAGTTGGTTATATAACGTACGCAAAAATCACTTTTTTAAAAAAATGTATTTAATTAAAATTATGTATATAGTTTTTAACAATTTCTACTAGAGAGCGAAATGACTTAAACATTAAAGATATAAGAAATAAACATATATTGGAAAAGGAATAATAGGAATTTGTAGTATTATAAAACAAGGCTGACTGGGACAGATTTTATCTTTACATAAAAGTGGGGTTTAATCATTTTTTCTAAATGAAATCCTGTTGAAAATAATAGATAGATCTTAATCCATTGTAAATAAAAAGTAACGTACCTAAATATACAATCAAATACACTTAGATCATAGGATAAATCAGTGAAAAATAAAGAAGTTATTGCAACATTTGGGATCCAAATACAGATAGATACAAAGCTATAATTTTACTAGCCGAATTGTAGCATAGCAATAAGTGTAAAATTATTTTTATTAAAATAATTATAAACTAAGAAATGTAAATAAAAACTAAAGTTACAGAAGTAAAACTCAGAGAATATTTACGTATTTGTTTACATTATAATACACCAAACTCTTTTTTTACACGATCTTTTTTTTAATGATATTGAAATAACATGGTGCACGAATTTAACGATTTTTTTTATTTTACACGAATCCCGGACAAATTGGGGATTCATGTCCTTTTTATGCAGACGATTTGACCAAATTTATTGTAGTTTATGCTGATGAAGAAGTCGATAACGATGAAAGTGAAGTTTAGTTATTGATAGCTGATTTAACTCGCGAGGGCAAGAAATTTGCTACAAGTATGGAACAACATTTTCTTACTCATGATTCTGAGATTGAGCTACAATAATTTCATTTTGAAGGTCGAGGGCAGCGGGATCCAACACAAATGACCTTGTGGGTCACTTCGGAAAACATTATAACCTCACGGGCCGCACATAAAAATGTGTACATTTATATCAGATTTGGAAACAAAAAACATTTATTGGAGTGAAA